ATACACAGTGTTGCATAGTTGGTATCAAATTTGTGAAACCTGAACTGGCTGTGCATTTTGTAGTGCAATCATTATTGTAATGTAATGCAGTTGTTTCCCAATCTGGATGAATTCCTGGTTGATGAACAGCTGCTGCTGTTACTTACAGGTTGGAAACAGTAAACAGTGACGGCTTTGAAGTTATCCCATGACAGTACTGAAGGTAGTCAGCCAGATGAAAGTGAAAAATGAGCCAGAAATAGTGTTTCTTTTTTTTAAATCATGTCTTGTACTATACTTTTTTTTTTCTTGTCTTGTTTTCCAGTTGGGAAAGAATTGGTTTGTGAGTGCTGTTATCTTCAGACAAGGTTGCAGAACTCATGTTTATCCAACTTTCTTATGCTGTTGTGACAGCAGAGCAGGTGTTTGCATATATGTAGTCAGAAGAGGGATATGGTCTGATGTTGAGCTAAGGAAAAGATGTCAGGTGACTGTATGATCTTCAGTACTTGTCTAAGTCCTGAGTTTCCCTTTACAGCAGTTGCTTCAAGATGTCTTGCAACCAGTTGATTGTTTCTTGAATAATTTCTGAAAAATCTATGTACTTAAATACTGCTCCCTGAGTGAAATGCATCCAGACTTCTGAGTTGTGTTTCATGACCAATGCTGAGTGCATACAGACACTTAAGCTGAGGAGTTCTGTTATTACTGTTGTCTTACAGGGGGCTTTAGCAGTGGAGGTTCGAGCCAAAGACCAAGAAACGCTGAATATGGTATCTGTCCTGCATGATGGAGAAACTGTATTATGCTGCATTGCTGAGAGGGCTTTCATGAAACATTTGGTACGTGTGTTATCCTTGCCCTTCTGCTTACAGTAACAAATAGTGTTCTGTGCAACCGATGGCGTGGTGTGGGAAGACTGTTACACCTGCTAAGTAGGGAGAACTTGTGAACTGGGAAGTGCCTGAACAGAAATAGGCGGAACTGTGTGCAGCATATACTTTTCAGAAATCTCTGCTTTGAATGCACTGGGAGGAAACTCAATAGCAACATCGTTCTGTTTTCAGGAGGGTGGCTGTAGTGTCCCTGTTGCAGTTAACACCATGCTGAAAGATGGCCAGGTGAGGAATATTTTGTATGTATCTGGGATTATTTATGAAAAACTGTTCCAGTGTGTGCATGTTCTCTGAGGTTCAGCTAGCAGATGTCTTCACAGCTGAGTAGGGCAGATAAGGGTTATTGTCCAAATCAGGAGTATGAGAAAGCAGTTCTGGTTACAGAAGCTGAGTCCTAGAAAACACCCTTACTGTGATAATTAGATTTTTTTCATCCTCTCGTTTCAAAGTTTGCCCTGAGATCTCAAAGTCTGCTTTTTGACTTGGGAAAATCTGTGCATTTATACAACAGATTATGAATTAAGTAGGTAGAAAGCTAGAAAGTATTCGGTTTCTTGGGAAGATGCAACTTCCCTAACAAGGATTATTTGCATTACAGTTGTATCAGACTGGCAGTCTGATTAGACTGACTGCAGAAGTGTTGCTGTCTAGGTTGGTTTTGTGGTAAACTCTTTCTGTCTTTCCAAGTTGTATTTGACAGGTGCAGTCTACAGTTTGGATGGGTCTGATAGCCTGAAGGAAACAATGCAGACCAGCGTTAATTATCCACAACAGGTATGCAATGCATGTTGGACTCAAAATTCAAACCTGTAGCTGAAGGATAAAACCAGATGTTTTGAGATCAAAAGGTTCTTCAGTTTCAGGTGTTTTTCCCTTGTTCTGCTAATTGTTCTGAGAGTCCACAGCATACAGTTCTAAAGGCTATTCAGACCACAGATTCTAGCTGAATATTTTTCAGTGAGCCAGCAGTGTGCCCTTGAAGCCAAGGAAGGCCAGTGGTATCTTGGGGTGTGTTACAGAGAGCGTGGCCAGCAGGGCAGGGGAGGTTCTCATACCTTCTGCACTGCAGGGGCCACATGTGGAACAGTCTAGTTCTGGGCTTCTCAAATCAGAAGAGATAGTGAACTGCTGGAACAAGTCCAGCGGAGGGTTGCAAAGATGATAGAGGCCTAGAGCATTTCCATTATGAGGAAAGACTTGGAGACCTGGGGCTGTTTAGCCTGGAGAAGAAAGGCTGGGAGGGGTCTTAGCAATGCTTATTAATACCTAAAGGATGAAAGTCAAGCAAGCAGATGAGGCCAGGCTTTTTTTTTTTTTTTTTTTTTTTGGTGGCGCACAGTGGAAGGACAAGGGACAGTGGGCACAAACTAGTACACCAGAAATTTCATACAGGTATGAGGAAGAAGGTTGACAAACAGGTTGCCCAGAGAGGTGGGGGGGGGGGAGGGGGGGAGTCTCCTTTGCTGGAGTTATTTGAAACCTGTCTGGATGGTTTCCTGTTCAATCTGCTCTAGGGAAGAACCTGCTTTCAGGGGAGTTCAATTCTGTGATATCTAGTTTCATGCAGACTTATTGCCCACTCCTTCCCACAGCCTTACACTGATGTGTTTATTCTTGCAGAATGAAGATGGACCGAATGATGATGTGCAGCATGTTGGCATCACAGCCAAAAACGTCCCTGGTCAGGCCCAAGAAGCTGCAGAGAATCTTGGTATTGAACTAGCTAGTTTACTTCTGAGCAAGGGAGCTAAGCACATCCTTCGCGTGGCAAGACAGCTGAACGATGCCTGCTAGGCCCCAGTGAGAGCAGCAAGATTGTTACAATTCTTGCTGCAGGCTTCACAGCTACTCAATCAGCTGTTGGAGGAAGGGGGAGGTTTGTTTTTAACATTTGCACCAGCCTTGTCTGACATTTGGGCATAAAATACTTGAAATACCTAACTAACTTGGAGTTACGTTTATCGAAGTTTACCTAAGTTGCAAAATCTCTCTGAAACTTAAATAAGTTTTTATTGTTAGGACAGATGTAGTAGTAATTGTTCTCCTATTGCGTTTAGTAACAAAGCATCAAATACAGATTATAGTCAGACCAAACAGTGGTGTTACTGCAGTACTGCGCAGTGCTGACAATAAGAAGTATTTTCTGTAGTCGCTGAACTTGGGAAATTGCAGATTATTTGGGCCTGTTATTTTCAGAAATGTTGAAGGAGACTAGCATTAGGTTCCCAAAGCATTCCTCATGGGGAATTTACCAGATGCTATATTCATAAGTTTTGGCTACAGAGTTGCTTTAAGTTATTAAATACAACCTTGTCACTTGTTCATAGTGAACTATTAGGTAGCTGGTTAGCCAACTTATCCCACGTAGATGTAGTATGAGGATATGCATTGATATACAATAACTGGTAACCTTTGACCTGTAGAGTAAGAAATTTGCCTTTCGCATTAGGCTGTGAGCTATTTCACTGTTCACGGCTGAACTGTTGTTTTGCACTATCATGTTGCAGTGCCTTAAGGAAACATCAAAATAACCTATTTATAGGGTTCCAGTTTGGAGATGAAGCATTGTTTATTTTCTGTGCAACATCTGCTGAATTTAACAGCAGAGAAACAGTCACGTTGTAAGCACCCAAGAGTAAGTCTGTTCGAAGAACGTCACCTATTTACAGTTTCTGTAACTGAACTCGAGCAGCCAATGGCGGCTGCTGGTGCTTCCTGCCTGCTCCGCAGCGCGGCCTAGCGCTTGCTCCTCGTAGTTGGCCTCCGGGCGTGGAGCTGCACTGCCCTGGGCCCTGCGCCGGTATTTGGATGCAGCCCCCGCCTCTCCCCTCCCGCGGATCGCAGCTCTCCCAGTGAGCATTGGAGTGGCCCTGAAAAGGGCCTTTGTGTGGTTCTTGGGGGGAGGAAGGGGGAGGAGGGGGGAGGAAGGGAAGGAGCCCGGCCTAGTACTCCTGTGACTGCTGCCCGCTGCCCTTCTTGCCGGCCTTGGCAGGGCTCGCGGCGCTCCCACCCGTCTTCTTGGGCAGCAGCACGGCCTGGATGTTGGGCAGGACGCCGCCCTGCGCGATGGTGACACCGCCCAGCAGCTTGTTGAGCTCCTCGTCGTTGCGCACCGCCAGCTGCAGGTGGCGGGGGATGATGCGCGTCTTCTTGTTGTCGCGGGCCGCGTTGCCCGCCAGCTCTAGAATCTCGGCCGTCAGGTACTCCAGCACGGCCGCCAGATAAACGGGTGCGCCAGCGCCCACCCGCTCCGCGTAATGTCCGCGCCGTAGCAGCCGGTGAACACGCCCGACGGGGAACTGCAGCCCGGCCCGAGAAGAACGAGACTTGGCCTTCGCTCGGGCCTTACCGCCACTTTTGCCTCGGCCAGACATGGCGTCTCGCAGCGCACCGAGCACCACTCCGAACTCTCAGCAGCTCTGCGGCGGGACGAAGGGAGGACGCCTCCACCCGTCTCTTTATAACCTCCCGCACAGTAGGGCCCCGCTCATTGGACAGCACAAGGCCGCCTCGCTATTGGTGCTCTGTCGCGTGAACCTCCTCTCTGACTGGCCGCCTTTGCGCCCGCCCCCACTCCTTAGCGCTTACCTCCTATCTAATGGCGACGGCGACAGACCAATCACAAGACAAGGCGCCAAATTCGTACCACGCGGTAGCCGTTGGCGCTCGCAGCCGGGTACGGTAAGATGGGGCAGTGCGGCGCCGGCCGGGCCCCGGGGTCCGACTCGCCGGCGTAGCTCGGCAGTGTGCTGGCAGGGGGAGTGGCTGGGCTCAGCAGCGGCGCCTCGGGTGAATGTCTGGAGCTACGCTGTCAGGTGGCAATTCTATGGTGCCCGATAACGCTATCTAAATAAGAATTCGGATGGAGAAAAATTAATCGTAACCGGCAAATCTAAGTGGTTCTTATCGATACTTTGTACAAAAAGATGCTGTGATCTGTACTCTGCTAACCGGTCCCAGAGATGCTCTGATCTGTGAAGAGCACAAATGCTAGACACTCAGGAAAAAAAAAAAAGCTTGTAGGATCTGCTGCAGAAATTTCTGGCATTGAGCAGGGCAGGAGAGCACAGCACTGTACTGTGGAACCTTGTTTCACTGCAAGTCAACATTCTTAGGACAGAGAGCTGAAGGTGAAAGGGTATTTCATGTTATTTTATTCTCAGAATGCTCTGAGTTGTGGGTATGATTTATAATGTATTATTCTACAGATAAACCTGAATTAGCCAAGAAGGCATTCTGGTTCTTCTGTTCTGCTGTAGAGTCTCACAGAAATTGCAGTTCTTATTTCTTCTCTCAAGGAACAGTGACAAGTTTTTTAAACTTCAATTTCATTTCTCCTGCTTTCCCTAAACACTCTGTGTAAAGATTTGTGTTGCTTATTTCCCCTCTGAAAGGTATTCTCAGTAGCAAGGACGTCCAAGTAGTGTTGACTGTCTTCTGTCAGCAGAATTAGACAGAAGAGCTCTGTCTACAAAAAGAGAATTGTGATTCTAGGCTGGCTTGGAGTAGTTTCTTGCATTCTGAAAGGTGGCTTGGAGTTCTCAGAGGATCAGAATAAGATTGAATTGTTTTGGTCAGCAATTGAATAAAGTTCACTGGAAGGTGCGGCTCCTGGCAGTTCAGTCAGACATCATAAAATAAGCGCACAAGCTGGTACCGGATTGAAAATGCAATCACACTGCCCAGGACCTAAATTTAAAAACAGACAAAAAACAAACAAACAAAACAAAACAAAAAAAAAAACAACCAACCTGAAGCTGAAACCTTACAACATCAGACAATTCACTGGCTAGCAGGTTCTTCTTTTCCATGGAGATTTGATGTGCTTTAAAACACAGTGCTATATCGTAAACAGACTTAAAGTAAAATTTTTAGGTGTAGAAGAAATGAAAAGCATAAATTTAGCCAAAGTTCTTGGTCTTTCAATCAAAATTGTACCTATCTGTGAGGGATTTTGTGCCTGTTTATGCAAGTTTATCTTGTGAGAACAAACGCAAAAAGATGGCAAAAGCACTTCTTAAGACACCCAAATTATAATGTAAACTCTATGGCCTGTAATGAAAAACAACTTGTCAAGCTACAATTTGTCATCCTTTCATAGCAAAGACTTCCCTGCCGTGACCTCACTCAAAATCAAGCTGTATGCACTTCCCATTCCCTCCTGCCCGATGTATTTGGCCTAAGCCTTGTTCTCTTTGTTGGAAGTCTTCTGCTGGAATAGGAATGTAAGTGGTGTTTTCTCTTTCCTAAGGAGAAACTCTTCCCTTTGAGCTGACATTGAAAGGAATTGTACTCAATTAAGCAATGTCTTTTCTGAAACAGAATGTCTGCTGTAACAGGTAAGAGTTCATGTGTTGAATAAAAGTAGCAGCAGTATCTGCAAGGCGTGTTCTCCTTGCATTCTAAGTTGCTTCAAAATGCTCCCACACCATGCTCAGACTCCAGCTACCACTGAGTTCATGCCACATTTATGTAAGGGCACCAGCTGGAGATAACACTTGTACTAGTGTTATTTGGTATGATTGAAAAACAGAACTGTGATAAAAGGCTGTATTGAGTTAGAGTGACAAGGCAAGAACATAGTGCTGTTTTTTCTACTGTTCTTCTTGCATCCAGCAACTTGTGCTCTGAGGAGCTTCTCGAGCTAATCTAGGGACTTGAAATTTAATAGCTCTTAGTGAATGATGCTAGGGACTGAGAGGAAGGACAGCTTCTTCTTGAAGCTGTGTAAAGCTCAGATTCTCAAGTTGCATAACTTTAATTGCATTTTGTATAAAAAGCATGATGCTTCCAGTCCCCCTCTCCCCTTGATATCCTTGAGACAAATCTGGATCTGCTTCTATCACAGAATACATTTCTCTGCTAGCAGGAACATTTGTCTGACCTGAATGAGTAGCAACAGGAGAGTGAGATTTCGTTCATGGATGGGTCCGATCAGCTTTATAACAAAGTTAATTAGCGTCATATTATTGCATTCGGAGTATTCACCATCTTCATCCATTCCACTCCTCACATCTACTATGTGCAAGATCTTTACTACCTAGGGAAAAAAAATATTGCATGCTATTTCATCAGGTATGTTTAGTGCTTCCTGCTAGATCTGTTTTGCTGTATCCCAGTAGTTTGGCTTGTGTTCTTACTTAAGAGACAGGATAGGCTTATGATGGTCTTGGAACAACTGCTGTGTGTGCTTATTTTAAAAGAGCAATTATTAATGTAGTTAATGCATTGATTGCAAGAGACAGTGACTGAGCTAAGTAGAATGTGTTCTTGATTTGAGCCAAGAAATAACCACTGAGCCCAGAAGTTCTGCCTTCCCTCCCATCCTGCTGCTCATGCGTTTGATTCCTTCCTCAAAACATGCTTGTTTTTTTTTTTTTTTAATCTTTTCCTGCTATTACCTTCAGAAGGTATGTTCCCAGGGTTGAAAGGCTCTTAGTTTTGAATTTGGAGTAGCTCATCTCCAACTTCCCTGTTGTAGGATTGAGCCTAAAAGGAATGTTGAAGTCTTAGTCTGGACAGAGCAAGGAGACCGTGATCCCTACATAAGTAGATTTATATCTCAAGCCAAGTTGCTGAGAAAGAAATACACTGGTGGAAAAAAGCAAAAATATTCCAATATTGTATAGCAGCAGCTGCTCACACCTTGGTCCCTCAGATTTGGGCAGTCAATAAAATATTCCTCCCTGCTTTGACCTAACACATGCATAAAGCTGCAAGGTTAGAAGAACTGAATATATGTAGACATGACGACAATCAGTGACAATACATAGTGCTGCGAAATGCTTGCTACAGTAAGATCTTAACAAATCCTAGTGCAACAGCAGTAGGAACAGCCTGTATCTATTTATCTCAGTCTTGCAGCTGAGAATAATCATACTCTAAAGAGTATGAGTGTTAAATAGTAGTCTTTCCTAGTAAATTTCTTCGAGAAACTTGTGCTGATTGACTCAACCATAAATAGCATGACTGGCCAACTATCCAACCTACTTTGATAGGTATTAAAAAGAGCACCAACCAACATATGTTATTGTTTCTCAGCTGGTAGTGGAGACAAAGGGCATAAACTGGTACTGTTATAGGTCACTCAGGTACATTACCTTGGTAGTCGGTGGCGGGGACAAGGAATAATGTGGAAGAGTTGAGGCAATGAGTAGAGGAAGTTAAGCACTTGTGGGATGAAAAAAAGGAGCATTGTTTTGCTGAAGTGGCCCAGGATCCCCACCACAGCAAAGGTCATGCCAGCAAAGTAACAGAAGGTGTCCCCAACAAACACTTGGGATGGATACCTGCAATCCACAAGGCAAAGGAGAAAAGGTCTGTCATAATCAGTGTTGCCAATATAATGACTTCATAACCACCTGAAGGCATTCCCTAATGGCAAGGTTGGTGCATAAAAGATACCAGTGGATCGCTGCTTTGTGTTCTTAGTTCTAGCAAGAAGCCTGTCTATACTCCAGTATATCGCTTACTCGTTGATAAATGTTTTTGTTTATAAAGGGAAAAAGAACATGCTTCCAAAGAAATGCTGAATAACCATCCTCTTACCAGTTGTGGTAAAACAGCCCCAGCGTTGTAAAAAAAAATGGAATCATAAAGTAGAGAGAGAAAATGTGATCATCCTGATAATCCCCTACAGGAAAAAAAAAAAAAAAAAAAAGAAATGAGGTTCTGATAAGACAGGACTAGGTTATTTTCAACTACGCTGACTACTGAAATTGAAGTTTCTATTTCCCTTTGCTTTTTGCACTCCCACGTGTTACCTTACCGTTTAACTCTACAAGGTTGAATGCAATAATGGAAGCAGCAATCACCAGAGACTGCCCTGCTTCAATCCCATTGATTCCAGCGAGAATGTTGATGGCATTAGTACAAAACACTGCTAGCATGCCCATGTACGCATAGTAGAGAATACCTGCAGGTCAGAATGAGGCAAATACTTTAGCATTCATATTTGAAACAGTAAATAGGATAACAGCCTGAAATTCTAGTTTCCTGTTTTATAGTTTTATAATTCATTATATAGTGTCTCAGTACATTCTCAAATTAGTAGTTTACTAACAAACAGATCCTTTTCCTGTAAATGTTACCACCTGTACACAAGTACAGCAAACTGCTGTGTTTCATTTCTGTGATTTAGTGATGCTGGGATTGGTATCTGAGGGCCAAGTGCCTTTGGCACTCTCTCATACTGCCAGAAACCTGAAAAAAGGTACGCTACTTATCTATGCATAGGTAAACATATATGCTGGAGCTCTTGATAGATATCTGGATGGCTATTCTCAGCAGCACGATATTTAGTTGGTGATGTTCCCTCTCACTTAATAGTTAGCAAATCTTCCACAGGTTCCCTCTACAGCACAGGGATTGACACCTGTTATGTTAAAGTTTGAGATGTGCCCCTTAATTCATTGCTAATGACCATCAGTGAGTCAGCGCTTACCCAAGTCCAAGTGCATGCCTAGTAACACACGGAAAGGCTTAGGCACCACAATGGTTGTGTTCCCAAAGTTGGTGAAGTACACCATAAGTAGTGGGAGGGATGCCATGGTAGGGAGAAGGAGTTTGTGACGCCAGCGTAGGTTCAAAACATCATCTGCAAAGCCCAGGAAAATCATGCAGCAGATGGCAAGGAGTGAGCCAATAAGTTCCACAAACTGCAGGACAGAGAACAGGGCTCTGGTCACTAATGGTCATTCCTTGCTAATGCCTGCTGCACTCCAGGCACAAAGAAGCCTTACCTCGTCGTGAGGAAAGGTCGTGCACTGCTCCTCTATGAAGCACCGCAGAAAGGGCACAGGGATGAAGCAGAAGAGGATGATGAGGAACACGGCCCCGCTGATCATACCCTGTGCCTCGGGGCTGAAAGGAAGGGGAGGCCAGCGGTCAGCTGGGACGTTGCGGGCCGGGGCCGGCCCGGCGGGCACCGCTACTCACATGGGCCGCCGGAAGGCCTTGTTGAGGTCCTCGCCGACGAGGCGCGCTGCCAAGAAGTGGTCTTTGAAGGCCGGTATTAATGTGAGGGTGGCCACGAAACCTAGCAGTGATCCCCCGAGATTGATGAGAAGGGGCGCGGCGGGCCAGGCCACCATGGCCGCGGCGGGCGCTGGCCCTGACGGGCACGGAGCGTCTCTCGGCGCACCTTGCTGGCCGGGCGCTAGAGTAGGATGCACCGGATACGCGCGCGCCTTTTCCGCTCAGTCCTTGAGGGGAGCGCCATCTTTGGCCCTGGCAATGGCAGTGGGCCGGCGCTATCTCTGTTTCGCCGTCGCGTACATCACTTCCTCCTTCCTCCCTCCCCGTACCCTGCGGTAGGTGGGTGAACCCCGATAGTGCTGCGCGGGCCGTCTGGTAGCCCCTCAAAAGCGCCCTAGTGACTTTGGCGTTTCGAGCGGCTGCTCCAGCACCGAGGGCCTCCCTGTCGAGCCGCCCCGACTTTTTGATGTGCTTCGCTGCTCTGTGATCAGCAATTGCCGACGCCGGCAGGGCTCCTGAGCACGACCGTCGCTTGTAGGCTATGCACGGGGACTCAGTGTGCGGCCCTGGTGGACGGCGGCGCTGAAAAGAACCTTGGGGACTGGGGGTGGCATCGGAGGTGACCATTGGGAGGTTGCGGTGGGTACGGTGGGGGCAGGGGGCCGCTGGCAGCGCTGTCCTCGCCCGCTGCACACCTGGCGGGGGCCGTTGATTGGCTCCCCAGGAAGCGTCCCTGAACCCGGCACTGCTTTCCTCTGTGAGAGTGAGCAACGGAGTGGCCCCACGGGGAGAAAAAAATAAATAAAAAACCCACGTTAGCTTGGGTCGTCCTGAGCCAGAAAACCGTTACCAGGTGTGTGGTCTTTGTGTGAGTGATCCTGGTTGAATGCAGGACAGGCATGGGTTTGACCACGGGCATTGCGTTTGGATGCAAGTCACTGAGTAGAGAAAGAAAACACAGTCGAGGTGAAAGACATAATAGCAGGACACACTTCCCTCTGCTCTGTGTTTGTGTGGGATGCGGTGAGCTCAGATGGTTTCTGATGGCTTTTTCTGGGCTTATTAGAAAGCTACTGCTGTATCAATAGACCTTTTCTGGTCTATGGTCTGTTGAACTTCTGAGAAAGTTAGTGAAGTATTAGCTGAGCCTTAAATTCTAAGGCGGGCATTCGGTTCTTTGAGGGAAGAAACTACAGTATGCATGAGGAAGTGGTTGACCAGAGAGCTTCCTGCACCTGTGGAAGTGCCACTGTGGCACGTGTAAAACGAGGGGGCACAGCTTTTGTTGCCGGCCCTCCTGGGAGAAGGTGACCCAGGGCAGGCAAGCAAACAGGCTCCAGCTGGATGATGGGCTGCAGTGCAGGTGCGCGTGCGTCAGCACAAGTGAAGGGTCAAGCTGAGAGAAAGGTGTTTTCAATAAGAAAGGGAAAAGTCATCGAAGAGCTCATCCATCATCTTCGCCTTGCTCTTTTAGGCCGACAGCATTAGTTCGTGGCAGTCAGCCACGAGGTTGTCCGGACAGAAAGGCTGGTGGCGGAGGACCCGCAGACCCAAGAGAAAAACTTGCACGCGGGCACCGGAAAGGAAAGCGGAGAACAGTGAGGTAGCCACGTAACGCCAGGGTCGCCCGCCATGCCGCGGGGAGGCGGTGCTCCGATACCGGAAGAACTCAGGCGGCTGCGTTTGGGGACGCAGTCACCACGCGCTGGTTGGGGTGGCTGTTGTGCGCAGGCGGGCGCCGGGAGCTGCAAGGGCCGGGGGCCGGGCTTGGCCCACGTGCGTCGCGGAATCGGGAGCAGGGCGGCGCGCCGCGTCCCTCCCCTCCTCTCTTCTCCGGGTGGGAGGCGGTAACAGCTAGGCTGGGGCCGGGCGGCGGCCGCCCGCCATGCCTCCCGGGCTGCTGTGAGGCGCAAGGCGCAGCAACATGGGGCCGGATCCGGGCTGGGCCGCGCTGGTGTTGCTTTTCGCCGCTTCGCTGCTCACGGTCGCGGCCTGGCTGCTCCAGTACTGGCGGTCGGCGGCCCTGCGATCGCCGCGGCGGCAAGAGCCGGCGACGGAGGAGGCCGGGGCCCGGGCGCTGCTCGCTGCGCTGCTCGCTCTTCGGTCCCTGCGTGAGCAGTGGCAGCGGGCCTGGGTGCGAGCCCTCAACAGCCAGGCGCGCCGGCACGGGGTACGGCAGGGCGCGGGCGGGCGGGGCCAGGCACCGCGTCGGCGGCGAGGCGAAGGGCGGTGAGGCCGAGAGATTACGTCGGCTTCGGTCGAGGAAGGAAAGCTCCTCACCAAGCACTTGGCTGTATAGTCTGGACAAAACTGTCCAAAGCAAGCATTCGTTGTGCTATTTTCGGTTTTTTTGGCTGCTGCGTGTTGGTTTCTACTGCGCTTGGGGGATGGGGTGCTGATCTTCCGTAAGTCGAATATGGGTCATGAATCCCACAGCAAGTATTGTCACGGAAGCTTACGTTGCCTGTTCAGGCCTTAATACTTCAAGAACTTTGTTGTCTCGTTTCTACAGAAGGACTACAGAGCGCTGATGACTGCTGTGTGAAAGAGTGTTGTGTCTTGACTCAAGTTTAGTTGTCAAAAGAAATTGGTAGCATTGGCCTATAAGAGTATTGCGCTATTGTGAATGCGGATGGCTTGTTTGTAAAGGACTACTTACTCCTATTATATGGCTGATGTGTTTCCTTTCTAGATTATTTTTTCCTGTATGCTAGAGATTTGGGAATTGACTAATTGAATTGACCACGTCTGGGATCTGGATCTGGAAATTGACTTGCTCCAAATGTAAACTTCCTTGAGGCTTGTCATATGTATGTTGCGTCTGTTTGTTTAGAGGTGTACCAGTGACCCTGCTTGTGAAGCTAGGTATCCCTTATTGCTGCTAGTATTGACAGATTTGGTTTGTCGGAGCTGTTTGACTGTGCCAGTGAGAACACCTAGTCTCTCCTCATCTGGTTTTACTCTTTTTAAAGAAAGGAAAAAAACAGGAAGAAGAAAGAGGAAACAGCTGATTGTTTCATTGCGTTCAGTCATTTGCTTTGTCACCTTACGGTCTTTGTAATCTATGTGTGGCACCATGTTTTGCCTCTTCCTTGAACTTGTTAGGTTGACTTGGAAAGGCTGGCCTAGTTTCTCATTCTTTGCTACCTGTGATAAGTGAAATTGTGCTTTGTTTTAATGGAGAAATGCTGCAGCATCTAGCCTCTCTTTTCTGCCTTTGATCTAGTTGGCTAACACTATAAAATGGGAATGGGTGTTTATATCCCTTTTCAGGCTCAGATGGTGTCAGAGAACAGATTATTCAGCAGTGTTTTTAGGATGAGCTTATCCTTTGACAGGTTTTAACGGTTAAAGTACTTTGTTCCTAAAACATTTGTGGAAAAATGGGGTTTTTCACAAAGATGTGGTAAATGTGGCGGACATATGATCAAAGGTTGAGATGTCCATCAAACTATACATTGATGCCTGCCTTTGTGGACTTTGCTGCTCCTTCTCCATAGACTGTCTTCTGTTATTTTCATTTATTGTTGTCAATTGATTGTACTTAGTTATTGAATATGGAGAAAATGAAAAGGTGTTCCTTTCAAAATAATGTAAGGAAGCTGCGATAAAAGCGAGACTGGACCTGTTGTGTTTGCATCCTGTTTCTTTTACTGTCTGCTCAGAACAAACTCAGAAACTTTCGTTGCAGTACAAGAAAGTTGGCGAACAGTACCTTAAGAATACCGAGGGCAGGAATCATCCATCTTGCAAGTCTGACTTCTGTGACAGAAGTTAGGACTGATTGTGACCAATTGGACTATGTCCTCGATCTTATAGAAGGAGGCACAAAAAGAACAAGAAGGTGTGCTGTATAAGGTTGCTGTAGGACTACCTGCTTTAATCTGTTGAAAGTGAATCTTTGGCCTGGAATTAAACAAGACTAGATTATGCACTGTAGGATTATGCTCTTGATAGTTATGGGTAAGCCTGGAAGTGACCTTAAAGATCATCAACCTCCATCTCTTTTCTCATGGGCAGAGTTGCCAACCACTAGATCAGGCTGCGCAAGGCCCCATCCAACCTGGCCTTGAACATCTCCAGGGATGTGGCATGTACAACTTCTCCGAGCAGTCTGTTTCAGTGCCCCACTGCCCTCTGAGTGAAGAATTTCTTTCTAATATCTAACCTAAATTTTTCCTCTTTTAGTTTAAAGCCGTTTCTTCTTGTCCTACCACTGCTAGGCTGTATAAAATGTCAGTCTCCCTCCAGCGTACAAGTTTCTTTGAAGCACTAGAAGGCCACTGTTTTTTGAGCCTGTCCAGGACCCTTTGGGTGGCATTCCTTCCTACTATTCTGTCAACTGCAATACTTACTTTGGTGTCATTTGAACACCTGCTGAGGGAGCACTCAAATCGCATCAGCTACATAATTCATGAAGATGTTAAAGAGTACCAGTCCCAAGATGGACCCCTGGGAGGGACCACTCCCGACCAGCCGCCAACTGGACTTAGAGCCCTTGACAGCAACACTGGCTACAACCATCCAAACAATTCTTTATCCACCAAATAGTCTACACTTAAAATCTGTATCTCTCCAACTCTCCAGAAGATGATGTTGCTGCAGTGAGTTGCTGTGGCTAAAAACAGTTCTCTGAAGCAGGGCTTCAATAGTATTCTCATGTTCAGTTTGCCTACTCTGTTTGCTCCTTGTGAGGAAAGGGATAGGTTTCTTTAAGCAATGTCCTCAGCTCTTTATCATGGCCTTCTGTTCTTTGCGAAATATTTTCTGTGGAGGACTGCTCTTGTTACACGGGGAAATCCTTGAATGAGGAAGAGGAATACTTCCACGGTGGAGTTTGTAATCTGATAAACTGTGGAAAGGTGGAAAATAGGAATTAGTCAAGCACATGAGCTGAGATGCTGTATGTTGGAGATAGGTTTTATTGCTGGTGGTGTTTTTGGATTTTTAATTGGGGTGAAATTAGCAGAGAGGAGAGAAAAGAAAAGCAAAGTCTTGGTGATGAAGAAGGTTTAACACTCTCTTACAGTTAACAGGTATTCAGAATAATTTTGCATTCTCAATCAGGCTTGCCTGTCTGAAGTTAGTGTTTGTGAGCCTGGACCACTGTTTCATTTCTCTGCCTGGACAAGCCAGAATTGCAGTGTGGACATGTTTGTGTGCCGGTTGGATTCATGGAATTGGACTAGAATGTCTCTGGGGCCCTATGTTAGACTTGTTCATCCTCTTTGAAACTACCTGTGATACCTTGTCCACTGGGAACTAACGGAGTTCTCTTTTTGTAGAGTTCAGTGCAGATCACATTTGAAGAGGGTCCTCAATTACCACCAGCAGCAAATATAAGCTGTGTGACTTGCAAAGGCCAGTCAGGTCACAGCATGGTAAGGCTTTGTTGTTCTGAATTGTGCCATGTTGGGTTTCTCTGCAATCAGTCTTGTATGGGGATTGTCAATGCCCACATGATGGGAATGGTAAACCTGGGGGAAAGTTGTAGGCTGGGTCCATAATTTGGTTCAGAGATTGCAGCTCAGGGACTATACGTTGGTGAACTCTGTGTGAGCAGTGGATGAGATCCATCTGATAAAGCTGAGACGTAGGGATGCTGTGCCTGAATATCAGGGCACTGCAGTGCAGAGAAGAGGGCTTCTTTGTCGATAATCTTTATTGGCTCATGTATGGAGTCTTAAATGGCATATTTAGAGTGCAGAACTGGGGCTGGCAGACTGATGTTTCTGTCCTGCCTCAATAGGTTAATTTTACTTATTGCTTTTACAGATTTTGCCATCTCCAATCTGCATCTCAGCAAGGATATAAAATTATCAATTTCCTTTTCTCTGTAGGTGCTGTGTTGTCATCTGTCAGCTGAAGCTGTGAAGTTCCCTGTCTCTGTCACCCAGCAGTCTGCAGTTGCTGTTTCTGTGGACACATATCATGTCACTTTGGCTCTGCTCCAGGCTGAGGTAATAGTTGTAAAAAGTTTGTTGGTTTTCTTGTTCTACATAGCCCTATGCTGAAGGAGGAAGGGAGGACTTGGTGTAATGCAGCTGAAGGTCTTATTGTGCCAGAGAGAGAGCCAAGTTATTGCTACTGTCTGGTGGGGTACTAAGCATTTCCTGATCAGTGTGCAGAGTCCTGTTTTATGAGCATTGTTCTGCAGATCTTGGATATTTAATATCATCTTAATAAAATCTGGGACCAGAGAGGTGATGTATGGCAGTGTTCTATACTTGCTTTTAAAAGATCTGCTTGAAAGCTGGAAGATCCACAGAATTTGAAACTCCGTGCAGTGCGATAAATAGGGAAATATTCTGTCCTGTTATTGGTGTGAAAAAGAAATCCACTGTGAGGAATGGTTTACTTGCCAGGACTCCCCTCAATACATTAATTTTGTTTCTGTGTTGAATTTTTGGAGATGGAGATGTTTTTCCCAGAAAAAGGAACTGAAATTGCAATGGGTGGTAACTCCACAGTTGCTTTCTGGTTGGATTTGCTTCTCCAGAATTTCATTTTTCCCTCAAGCAGAAGGATTTCTTTGTCTTGGTGGCAGCTTCCTTGGATACTGCTTGGTCTTTGGTGCTATCGGAAGAGATGGTAGAATTAAGAGCAGTTCTACAGTATGAGGCCAGTCCCACGCTACTGCAGATATTACAGTTGGAAAGTTGTTCTAGAATGTCTTTGCTCTTAAAAGCTTTAATAAAATTTTCTGTGTAAGTTTACCAGATCATGCTGGTTTGTTCTTGTGTCTGCGTAAGAGTTCTTCATTCCTTCTGATTATCTCCTTTCCTTCCTTGGTGTTTAGTATGCCTGCTGCTGATCTCGTTGTGGCTGTGAATTGCCATCATTGTTCATCTTTCCTTAGTCTCTAGAGGCCGGGTCAAGACCAAGTCGCTTCTCTACTCGTTGGAATTTCTCCTCATCTGTGTCTGTTGAAGTTTTGATTTTTGTGTGTCTGATGGTCAGAATACTTCAAGTGCTTCTGTCCCACATTTGTCTTGCCTTTTCTGTTAAACCTCTTGCCAGTTACTTGTCTGGCTACTCTGTCTCAGATCTCTTACTTTCAACTCAAAACTGTGTATTCCAGGTAAAGAAATGTTCAAAAGCAGTTTCTTTTGGTTACTTTTGTTGAACTGTGTTAAATTTAAATTTTGTTCCATTGTTTTTAATAGCGATCTTGAGTTGGGAGTTTTTCCTCTGTCGTTTCATTTGTGTGTTGTATTAATGATACCTTTATTTTGTATGGATGTGGAACTTTTCAGCTGAACTACAGAATACTGTACAGGCTGTGTTGTTGTTGCAGACTATTGGTGACCTGAATGAGTTTGCAGACCAAGGATGATTTCCTAGAGACTTTAGAAATGGTTCTACTTATGTTTGACGGTGGTTAATGACATAGCTCCGCAAATACAATGTATTAGTACCCAACTTGCTTTATCAGATTGTCTTGGGGGCTTTTTCTTCAGCCAAAGAAGTAAGATTTTTTTTTTTTTTTTCCTTTGATGATGTCTGGACATCCAATGGCAGTGAGGAAGCTGGATATGGAGTGATGAATATTCTGTAGCCAGTTACTCTCGGAAGCCCAGGACCACCTATGTTCTTCCTTGTTTTTTTTTATAGCTGCAGTAATGGGGAGGCCCTTTTAGTTGCTGAAGGTGAAGCACGGCAAGAAACACCAAATGAAAACAGAGCGTTCTAACTGCATATTTGTTCTGGGTCAGGTGGAGATCCACTTGGAGGAGATACAGAATCAGGGTCTCCTGGTGTCATGGACATTCAAGGACAGACCAGACTTGGATCTTTCAGTTCTTCCAAGACTTCAGCCTTGTGAGGTAAGCAAACAGGGAGGCTAGGCTCAGAGGGAAGAGGGAAAGTGCTAAAGGAGCGCGTTCTTAAAGAGAGCTAAAGCAGTTCTGATACCTGCTTTCTGAGTTTTGCATAACATCTGAACTCTGAATAGAGTATACGTAGCAAAAAATGCTTCCTGTCTATGTAGGTTCTACTGCTGTTGCCAATTGCAGAGCTGCAAAATGAATTGGAGTATTTTATTTTACTTTTTGGACTTGTAAAGCGTTCAGAACCCGTGAGTGTTTGTGGCTTGATGAGCTGAACACAGATGTGCTTGCAACTCAGGGTGTTTTTTTTTTGTTGTTGTTGTTAGTTTTATTGAAATCCTTGTCTTATCTTTAGCGGATGTAGGAATTTGGCTTTTATGAAAGTGGTGGTGGTACTGTTACATGAGGTGGCAAGGATACAGTAAGCCCTAAAGGCTTCATTGTCAAAATTTGCAATAGGGAGACTACAGATGTAAAGGTCAATTTATCTTGCTTATATAGCCTGTTTTTGCCGGTAACTATTACAGCAGCGATTAAGCGCTGGGGAGAGGGTGTACAGGACAGAAGAAGAGTATGTGGGAGGGTATTTCTGGGAGAAGGGCTGCTTAGCATCATAGAGGCTTTAGAAGCAGTTGCAGCTGTATAAGGAGAAAAATTGTCTGCCTCCGTGTGACATTCCTGCATTTCCTTTGGATTTGTGGAGAGAAGAACGAAGGGAAAGCGGATCTGTCCACCATAAAGGATCTAATCGAGGATACTATTGTCAGCACGCAGCCAGCCATGATGGTGAATCTGAAGGCTTGCACAGCTGGAACTGGCACAGTAAGATTCTCTTCCTGTAGCATTCTCATGCCTTGTATGCTGTGCCCTGAAGTGCTTTGGAGGGCCTAGGCTCATTTTTAGACAGCAGTCACATTCTTAACAATAATTGGGGTATTGTGGCACAGGGAGTGGGGGGGAATTAGTAGGGAGAGACCTTTGGAGTGTCGCCTTTGGTTCCCCCTTCAAGTAGTCAGAAAGCTCATTCCTATCTGTCTCTTTTCGTGTCTACCCTAAATTTCATGTCTGAAGTGACATGGGGGCCCACCGAAGGTTGATAGCTTGTGGAATCTGCACTACCTCTAGGTGGCTTTGTGGATATTCCGTGAGGAGCATTTGTGAGATGTAAGCACAAATGTTATGTGTCTTACTGCTATCTGCTGAAAAGCAAATGGTAAGTCATCAGTCTTCCTCTCATGATTCCTCAGGTATCCAGCAGTAAGGTGACCCAAGAGTCTCCATACAGTGTAGTAGAAGCCCCTCTGGGTTCAAAGCTGTTGCTCCGGAATCTTCGTGTGCTGAACTTAGGCTCACAGAGGAGTGGAGGTAAATGTGAAAACACTGCTAAGCTGAAGCAGGGCAAGTGTGGAGGTAGCAAGGTTAGAGCAAGTGGATGTTTGTCTTGAAATGGAAATATGTGTGTGTGAGCTCTGCCTTGTATTTACAGGTGCATACATGTTCTCTTTCTCTGTTGCAGGAGTTGGGGAGATACGCTGTGTTGCAGAACTAGACAGTCCCCCGCAACAGAAACGGACAAGGCCAGTGAGAGCTGGTAGCACTGGCATTGCTGCAGAGATGGAGTGGAATGAAGAGCTGTTTCTGTAAGTGTCTCCCACCCTCCTGGCAGTTGCAGTAAAGGCAGACTAGCATGACCTCTTTGTGGAGGTGATGTCTGCAGTGCTGGTGGCGTGTGTTCGTGCTGCTGGTGTACCGGGCTGCAAATACTAGTGATTGGCCCCAGCTTGCATGCGTATTTCCTGCTTCCTTGTATGGTGTGTGTTTTAACTGGATGGGCAGAAGTGCTGATTGTATGGAGTACAGGGGCAGGAGCACTTAAATTTCTAGACAGTTTTATTAGCTTGCTCTGGAAGCTTATGCAGCCCAACATGGGACATAAACTTAAACTCTCCTCACCTTGCTGCTCCTTCTTAAGGTCTCCAAAACAAGACATGCATTCCAGAGCTTTGGAAAGGTGATTTGAGGGAAGGAAAATATTAAATGAACTTGTTTACACTGCGGCATTTCTTCAAAGACTGCTTAATCCCGGTTCTTCTGTCTCTGTTTCAACAGTGAGTTAGGACCCAGAAGTAAGGAGCTGAAGTTACAGGTGCTGGAGAACAGCTGCAAAGGGGAAGGTAAGTATGAACAGCCAAAAAATGGATTCTAAGATGAGATGACAAAACTGCCTAACGAACTTGCTGTGCTTTGAGCCAGTGATTCTTCTATGTTGGAATCATATGTTACAAATTCTGCAAGGGATTTCCGTATCAAACCTTATATGAGTCTGTGTGTAAAGTACCTCTCAAGTCAGTTGTCTTTACTGCGGGTCGTGGGACCCTTTAACTTTCTTGCCTGGAAGCAGTGAGAGGGATGCAGAGACTTGTCCACGTGTATTGGAAGGACAGGGCAGAGGCTCTTAATTCTTTTGGACTTGTGGTCAGAGTACAGACAATTGCACATTTTTGATGGAGGCTGCAAAAATACAACTTGTCTAACATTTGTTTTGTAGATCAGCAAAGCAGAGCCTCTTCTGCTGAATCTGGGACTTACTGGAATTAAGGCGATCTGCTTTGATGTCCCATGGGTCTAGTTTCCAAAAGCAGATGGACCCTGGGAAAGGTCTGAGGTGCTGAGAAGTCATGTGGTTTTTCTTTTCTTTTCTCCTTTTGCAGATGTGCTGCTGGCACATACTACTCTTTTGCTTGATTCTTTGGGCAAACAACCCTCTGGGAGACAGGTCTGCTCGCTGGCCTCAGGAGCTGGGCAACCACTGGCAGCTGAAGCTACCATTGTATTGGAGGTGAGCTGATGACTTCGTAAGCTCTGTGAGTGCATGCTCTAGAAATATTTGTAATGTGAGACCATAGCTGGAAACCAAAGTGATTAGGTCTGAGCCTGTTGCAGGGGACTAACAGAGAATGTCTGAGAATGTGTCACCTCACCCTTAGTCCCTGAGCTTCCCTTCCATTCAACAAATGTTGCAGTGAGGATGGCTCCTTAGTGTCCAGAGCGGTAGCTTTTGTTGTTTGTATGCCCGTCTTTCATTTTGGGAGGAGGGTAGTCCCTCCTGAGCTATGTTTTATTTTTTGTAGCTTTTATACCAGGATTCTTCTGCATCTCTGAATGCTCAGCATGCCACATCTCTGCATACCAGCATCACCCCCACAAAGAAGGTGGAGATGGACCGGACCATCATGCCCGATGGCACCATTGTGACTACTGTCACCACAATTCAGTCCCGACCCAAGGTGGATTGTAAGCTGGGTGAGGCTGCCCTGAGATAGGAGTCTTGTACAGGTGGCTGTTCAGACACCGAATGTTGGGTTGTTGTGGACTTGTATTTTAAGTATGAAGTGGGTGAATGGTGCTTTTGGCTTTCAGATTACTGTCCTGTGGCTGTCTGGAGATTAGTAGGAAGCATTGAGGGGAGGGAACTGACATATTGATGTATCTCCTGTATTTGGAAAGAGATATCAGAGGGATGAGCCTCTCTGACATTGAGGGTGGGACTTCTGCGTGATGTTGGACTAAACATTTTGGCTTTCTTACTCTGTTTTCTTCACTGCTAAATGAGTTGTGCTCTGTGTACTGAATACAGGCCTGAAAACCTGTTGCCCTTGCTTACCAGTTGTTGCTGCTTGCAGTCTCGGCCTGATGTCTTGGTGAATGTAGTGCTGGCTATTTAGTGAGGTAGGGTTGGGAAACAGCACAAACAAGGGCTTGTGACAGGGCTGCTTTGCGTGTCATTCCAGTTGCTTCTTACTACTTGACTGCTGCAAAGCCTCATATCGGCAGCCTCTGCAGATGTTCTGTGTGTGTGTATGATGCTGTGTGTGTAGGGGACCGTGACAGTGTGATGAAGCTGCCTCAAAGCTGCCACTTTCTTTTGTCTCTGTGTCTTTTCCTATCTTTCACTACGAAGATTCACCTTCAAGGTCACCATCCAAGGTGGAAGTGACAGAAAAGAAGACAACAGTGCTTCTGGAAAGCAGCTGTCCTCACAACTCCTTGTCCAGCAGCAGCCGTAAGTGCTTGCGAAACAGGGCTTCTTAGTGGGGCGGTGATGTTTCTTAGCCTTTCTCAGTAAGCAGCTGTCTGAGTGAGAGTTGCTGAACTCATCTGCATTTGCTGCAGAAGAGAAAGTCCAAGTACCTAAGGGAAGAAGAGAAATAAGGGATGGGAGGGCGGGACGTGGAAGCAAGTAAAAGAAATGCTTCTGTGGCTCTCTCATCTGTTAATCTGAATGTTTCCTTGTCTGACAAAAACATCTCCAAAGTATCTGAACCCAAAGAAGTTTGCTCATGCTGTATCTCTGTACTTAGTGTTTCTGATTGTCTCTGGGACAGGGTGCTTAGGCTCTTTGGATGCTTTGTGGCCAAGACTGTGTGACCTCTTGTAAGTCTTTGGAAGTTTTTTTTAAGTGGGAAATGGGAAAGGTATTTTAATAATGCATCTGTTGGGAAATCAAGCTTAACAGGTGCCTAGAAGAGATGAGAACTCTGTGGAGCATCCTTTCTTTAATGTCTTTGAGCAAATCTATAATAAATTCTGCTGTCTATTGTAACATACATGCAGTAGCCCATTGAAAGCATCATGGTCATTAAGTGACCTCTTGCCTGTGTTGAAGGACACTACTTCAAGTGTTGGTATCTTTCTTGTGCTCAGGAGACAGCCAGATGCCCAATGGCTTGGATCCAGTGGCTGAGACGGCAATCAGGCAGCTAACTGAGACAAATAACAAGCCTGCCAAGAAGACCCCAACAAAACGTAGCACGCTGATCATCTCAGGAGTTTCCAAGGTGTCTGGCAGTTAGAGGTCTCCATTTTCATTCTGGGAGGTTGTTTCTAGGAATGTGTGTGTGAAACCGCCCTGTCCTCTAGAGAACGATGAGGAAAGATCCCGTTGCAGGGGACTTGCTCAGCAGAACCTTTTTGCTGCTTTCTTGCAGCTTGTTCTTATTTCCCAGCAAACATCAAGGTCACCTCGTTAGTCTGCAGGGCAGCTGTCATGGGAAGCTCACAAAGCATGGCAGGAGAAGAGGAAGCTGTTGATGTAGCCAATTGGGAAACCTCATGGAGAATCTGAGTTATCCTGGGACTTTCTTATGGGAGTGAGGGAAGTATTGCAAAATGTAGTGGAATCAGGTATCTTCCAGTATGTTTTGGCAAAAAAATAAGTGACCATTGTATGTCTGTGCTTTCTAGCATGGTTGACCAAAACTGGAGATAAATGCAACGCTTTAGATCTTGTCTTCCTGTCTGACCCTCTAACATCCTCCAGGTACCTCTTGCTCAAGATGAAATGGCACTTTCTCTGGGTTATGCTGCATCCATGGAGGCCACAGTATATGGGGATACTGGGGCAGTCTGTGCATCTGACCAGGTGCATGATTCCACTGAGTCATCACAGCTGCTGGAAGCATCACCATCAGAACAAAGAGCTGGTCAGGAGCTGGATGAGACGACGCGATCTGACATCTCTGAGAGACCATCTGTGGAAGATGTTGAGTCTGAAACTGGCTCCACAGGAGCCCTTGAGACCAGGAGCTTGAAAGATCACAAAGGTGAGGGTGAACTGTTAGCCAGTAGCTAACGTCAGCTTGTTGTCTCTGAGGAAGAAGTAAGACCTTTGCAGGTTGCATATTCCCAAGACAGTGTTTCGGCCTCTGAGTTTTCAGATGAGACACATATCTGTCAATAGCGATTCTTCCTCTAAACTCTGCTGCTGTGGTGCAGAGCTGCAGATTGTGTGGACCTTGATACGCTCTGTTTTCTCCATTACCATCAAAGTAGCTAGCACCTCTGGCCTGCAGTACTATAGGATGTCCCCACAGGCTCCCAGCTTTTAAACAGTGAAGGGTAGGTCTGCCGTGACTGAGGTGCTGTTCTGGAATATCCAGGTTTGTGTCAGTTGGGCAGACTGCATGACTTGGATTGGTTTGCTTGAAGCCATGATCGTTTCAGTTTGCTACAAATTCCCTAAGCAAAGGCAAGCCAATACTCTGTTTCTCAAAATCGTGTTGGTCTTTTGTTTGCATGTCAGGTGAAAAGGTATGTGGCCCAGATGCACAAGAGACCTGGTGAGCTGGGAAAAGAAGGAAGAAAAAGAAGGAATTGTGGAATTGCTCAGGTTGGAAAAGACCTTAAAGATCAAGTCCAACCGCAACCTAACCATACTACCCCAACTCTAACAACCCTCGCTAAATCACGTCCCTGAGCACCACATCCAAACGGTTTTTAAGCACATTCAGGATGGTGACTCAACCACCTCCCTGGAGAGCCTATTGCAGTGCTTAACAACCCTTTCAGTAAAGAAGTTTGTCCTGATATCCAACCTAAACTTCCCCTGGCACAATTGAGGCCGTTTCTCCTCGTCCTGTCACCAGTGAGAAGAGACCAGCCCCGCTTTTGCTGTAGTCACCTTTCAGATATTGGAAGAGAGCCATAAGGTCTCCCCCTCAGCCTCCTTTTCCCCAGACTCAACAGCCCCAGTTCCTTCAGTGTCTCCTCGTAGGCCTCTAAGCCCTTCAGCAGCCTTGTTGCCCTTCTTTGGACCTGCTCCAGCATCTCAGTGTCCTTTCTGTACTGAGGTGCCCAAAACTGAACACATTATTAGAGGTGAGGCCTCACCAATGCAGAATACAAGGGCAGGATGACTTCCCTAGTCCTGCTCACTGTGCCATTCCTGATACAAACCAGGATGTCATTGGCAAAGAACCCCACTATCTATAGAAAATACTGTTGTAGCACTGAATAATGGGCAGGTTTTGGATATGCCTTTGTGTTCCCTTTTGGGGCTGCCAGTAAGCAGCATTTTCATCCTGTCCTGCCTCTCTATGCCTTCAGGAGCCATCGCTGTTTTTTTTTCTTCCAGATTTGCGCATATTGTGAAACTGCAAACAGTTGTGCTGAGAGTGTGATGACCAGCTAATCTAGATGCCCATATGATGGGCTAGCCCAAGAAGCGCTTTCCCTGTTGTATGTGTTGCTGTGGATATCTCCACACTGTGATATTCCCAGTCATTTTCCACATCAGTCTTAACTTTAATTTAAAGTTCTTCATGACTCCTCTCAAGTAGATGGCTGCATAAAAGGAAGCTTATGTACAGGAGGTGTGTTTTTAGGAAAATAGCTTTGTATTGCAGTCTGTGCTGAATCTGGACTTTGCCTTGCAGTTGGAAGCTAGGACTCACTTGACCTGTGTGCCTTTGCTGATTGGAATGATGGTCGCTTGTTTAAGAGTGGCCAGATAGCAGTGTGTATTTGTCGTCCCAGAGACTCACTAGTGCAGGACACCACCATGATTGCTATCTTCTTCCTGTCTTTGCAGTTAGCTTTCTTCGGAGTGGTACCAAACTCATCTTTCGGAGAAAGAGCAAGCAGAAGGAAGCTGGCCTCAGCCAGTCACACGATGACTTGTCCAATGTCACCGCTGGTTCTGCCACCAAGAAGAAAGCTGGCAGCTTCTCCCACCGCCTCATCAAACGTTTCTCCTTCAAGTCTAAATCCAAACCTAAGACTAGTGACAACACAACAACAGGTGAGAACTGAATGAAGGAGAAGCCAGCTGGAAGGATTCAACAGAAATTGTCTTCTCTTCTCTCGTCTTTCCACTCCACTGGTACCTGTGACCTGCAGTCCAGTTCCTTACATCCTTGTTTGAGGGAAGACACCTTGGTACTTGACACTGTCTAGGGAGCGAAGGTGATGAACCCAGGGTTGAGGCTGCTTAACTGTCTTTGCTCAGCCTTCTCTGACTATTACGCTCTCTCAAAAAAACCTAGCTGATACGCTAATCCCCATTGGAGTCCCAGGAGCTGAAGAAATGACTCTGTCTGTGTAGCTGTCCAGCTTCACCAAGTGTTTCCTTGAAAGAGGGGGGGATTTTTCAAGTGACAGCCGCACTTAAAAAGTGAGAATCTGCTAAGGTATCTGCATTTTTCAAGAGCTATGGGTTGCATAACCCATAATAATAGCAGAATTCTGCACCTCGCAGAATTCTGATATTGAGAAAGGATGGTGTGGTCATGAGCCATTCACATGTTGCTCTTGCTTGGTGCAGAGGCTTGTTGCCTGACTGAGGTGTGTGATGCGTTGTGGGGTGGTGCATTCTTGGCCTAAGAGCTGTGAGCAGAATGAGATACTGTTCCCCTATTGGAATGGCTTCTGGTTCAGAGGGTGCTGAGGAAGCCTGCTTTCTGCGCTCTACTGATGAAGAAAGGTGTCTAAGGACAAGGAAGTCTTAAGCACTAGGCAAGTTTTCTGTAGAAGGTGGAGTCCTTGCAAAGTTTGGTTGCTGCTCTTGGTGTGCCGCCTGATGACACAACCCTCCTGTATTTGTGTTCTGGAGTGGGGAAGGGATCTTGTTGCATGCATGTACCAGCTGTCTTCTGTACGAGTGGAACCCTTTTCCTTGTGTGTAGCTGGGGCTTCCCCAGTGTTCTGCTGGAAGATGGCAGAAGCTGTCATCTGGTCCTGCACTGTGCGTGGCCTCGTTCTCTATCAGCCCTCGCACCAATGAGCAATATCGTGCTGGAGTTGGAAAGTGAGAAATGTGGCAATACCAGCAAAAGAGCAGTGTGATATGAAACCTTAAGCTGTGTGGCAACACAAGTGAGGAGCTTACATGTTTTCACAGAGGAAAGTATAGGAGGAGCCTTTCTTGGTGGTATTTGATACTCTCCTTCTTCTTAAAAATGTCTTTTTCTGTGTTTAAAGTGGAGGTGTTTTTGCAGTGGGTGTTTCTTGAGAGAGAGCTGCTTGGGGGAAAATCAACTGCTTGCATGGGAGTAAACACTGCCCTTCCAAATTAATGTTTTTCCAGTCTCCTGAGATGCATGCATTAGTGAATATTTGCAGAGGCCCGGTTTGGATGAGTGTTACAGTACTTCCTGAGGAAATGATAGTGCCCTGTCAGAGTAGATGGTTTGAATGTGGAAGCTCTTTCTGTTTTGTGGGTTGTGGAGTCAAGGGAACGGAGCAAAAGGGAGGAGGAAAAGCCTCAGAAGAGAGATCATGTAGGCCTGGCTGAGTTTTCTAGCTGCTCTTTTCTGTTAAAATGTATTTTGAAACTATCTGTGACACAGTGCATCATGTCAGGACAAAACCTAGGTTACTGATAGGGCCTTGTGCCATTTCTGAGGACTGCAGTGTGCTTGGTAGGTTGCTGTAAAGGGATTTATAGGTAGGAATTTAGGGTGTGTCTCAAAAGTATCTGAAAATAGGGAAGACCATAGTCACTTAGGCTTGGATTTTAAGTGTCGATGTGTGCTGAAAGAAAGGACTCTTGTTTTCAATCTGCTGATTCGTCACAAGGTTGAATGTACCTAGTAAGTTTGACTGTTCCAGTTGGCTGACCAGGCAACTCTTCTCTGTTTTTCAAGGTCTGAAATTCTTTTTGCCATTCCCCAGTTCTGTGTGGCTTTCTGTGCAGCTTGATGCACTCCAGATGTCACAGAGCTTGCTATTCAGTAAGAATAATGAAAATCAATTTATTTGATGCGCCATGTTGGGAAGTTGGCTGTCTGCAACTAAGCCCTAGTAATTTCTGGTTTGGCGTAGGTTTCCTACTCTGGATCAGTGATGTATCACATGTGGAACTTTTTCATAGGTGTTGTTCCCAAAGCCCCTCAAGGTTTGGTTCTGGCTTTTGTATTCTCTCTTGCAATGTCCCTCTGTCATTAACATTATTTGGTGCTGTTGTATTTTTGTTTGCTTTTTTTTTTCTAGGTAATTTTGAGGGTTTTTTGAACGAAGTGTGCTGGTTGTGCCTTGACAGCAGAACCTCTCTGGTGGGATCACTAAAACTTTGTATTACCAGTGGCTTTGAACTGAAGGGCTGCTGGCTCTTCCTACGGATATACAGTTGGACCTTCTACAAGTCTTATTTAATATTTATGTATTCTTTAAAGCTATGTGAGCAGTGTGAGCTGTCTTGGCATGGGGCAGCTTCTGGCAAGTGCCTGGGGCTCCCACCAGTGCTTCTGGAATGTTAATGTAAGAGCAGCTGTGAGGGGTAGTGAGCACTGCCCTTGTTGGCATGGATTGCCCTGCAAAATGCCAATGAGATTTGTGTCTGATAAACGTTTATCTAATTTTAAACAAGAATAGTTTGTTCCACTTCAGAGGAAGGACACAACAGGAGAGCTGGAAGTAAAGCACAAACCAGAGTTCTTCACTGGCCTCAGGGAACCAGGGAGGTTTTTCTAGCTGTGTTAAATAGGTTATTCCTAGAATACATCCATGCATCATAATGAACTTGTTCCTGCTTAGTAGGCTCCAGGATAAGGTAGCTCCGAAGTGGAATTACTGTTTTTGATATTTTACCTTTGACCTTTCAAAAGAATTACAGTAATGTCTCAAAAGAATTTTCTCAGAATATCCTGCACTGTCATCCATAGAGTGAATGGCATACATGGTGCATGATGGTGATTGTGTTTTTTAACCTTGAATTTTTGGTGGTGTTCTTTATCGTGGGCAGTAAATTGGATGTGGAAGTTTGCATCTGGCTAGATAGCTTACTAGCTAGCTAGTCTCCAGTTCAGACAGGGTACATCCCCAAACATTAACTCATATGTCTGCTTTTGTTTTCTTTCTGCCACATCATTTATTCTTAAAGTTCTGAAGTACAGAACTGGTATTGTAGCCTATGTTTTTCTACAAAATGTTCTCTGTAAGTGCAGAATATTTTTCAGAGTATTTAGATAAGATTTGGGGGACAGTAGGGTAGAGGAGAATGGGTCAGTTGTCTGCGCTTAGAGTTTTTTAGTACATTCTTGATTTAATGCATTCATCCTTAATCTTCATATCTGTACATGGCTTCCTTTCTCTATTGCAAAGGTTTTTTTGTCCTCCAAGTAGTAGGTGACTGATTTTCTTTTCCCAGTTATGTGAGCTTGTGTGAATCTGCTGGATTACTTGAAGCCAGGTACAGTAGCAGATCCACAAAGAGATGTGATTATTGGCCTATGAAATGATTCTTTTCTCATATTCTTTTCAGAATGAAAGGGAAGGTCACATAGGTCTCCAGTCTCCAGAAACTATAGACAGAGTTTCATGGAGTTTTCTTTCATAAAACTCTGTGTAAAATAAATCTGCTTGTATTTAATCACTGCTTGTACTTTAAAAAAAAAAAAAGAAAAGAAAAGGTTTTAAATCTGCTTTAGATGTTTAGGTTCTTGTGGATACTCATTCCCTCAGCTTGTTGCCACTTCAGAGTCTGCGGATTTTATAGTGACAGGCCACAGAGCAACCACAGTGTGCAGTGCAGGCTGTCATCTAATTCTTTAGACTCCAGCGATCTTGTTAGGTTGCAGTCTCAGGGTAGCCTCAATATTTGCACTTAATGAAATTGGTCCTCGACCAAATAATTGCATGGAGAAAAGGAGTGGAAGTGTGGTGAACACAGATAGTGTTCAGAAAGAGTTCTGCCTATTTATGTGAGCCTGTGTTCCAAATGCTACATTTTGCTGCTGACTACAGAAGAAAAAAGAGGGACTATTAAATGAAGCCAAAGTATACTTTTTTTTTTTTTTCCCTTGGTGTATTGGATGAAAAAAGTTGGTAGAATTTACCTATTCTATGTATTTTCACTTCACTGAAGAAAACAGATTTCTCTAGCTATTTGGTTGTAACTGTTTCTGTCTGGATGTGCACTCTCCTCGCATTTTGGCAAGGCTTTTAAGCATCTCCCTGTTGAAAAAGCCCTTGACATCTGCCTGCCTCTTTGTACCCTCTTAAAGTGAGAAAAACGTGCAGGAACAAAGGGACCTGCAAAAACCATCAGTGCTTTAGCTTGCTATAGGCTTTAATGTGACAAATGTTGACTGAGGCCTGATACTTGGAGAGAAGGTTCAGTGGCTGCCCAACTCAAGGGTACAAGGATTGGGTACATGCTTGCGTGTTTGCACATGCTTGTGAGTAGAACGTTCTCTGAATATGTGAAACTGATTGCAGTGCACAATGACCGAACGGACACGGTTGGAGGGCTTGGGAGAGGCCTTAAGTGGTATCCACAAAATATGTCTTGCTCTGATACATCTCTCCAGAGGTAGACTTGAGGACAAATCTAACCACCGCATCAGTTTACACCTTCAAAATGCTTAAATAGTTGAGAATGACTTTTTAGACATGCTTAGCTGAAGTGGGGGAGAAGTAGCAGAGACTACTCAGCTAGCCAGAAAACAGTTTAGCAGAGGGGAAGTGTCAAGAAATCTTCAAACAGCTGTGAGCGTGCCAGGGGCGTGTGCTGTTTCTACTCTTGAACTGGGTATATTGAAATGTGTGTGCTTAAATGCTTTTATTACTATTGATGCTGCTTCTTACGACAGCTGATCTGAGTTCATGTTTGCTAATCCTATAGAGAAGGAGCTGTTACTGGGTAGCTGTCGAGATGCTTGACTGCTGGGTGAATGGTATTTGCTTCTGGGATCTTTTCCTGTGTTCCTCCTCTCCCTGCCCCTAGTTCATGGTGAGTGTAATGAAAGTAACAATATCAGTGGCGGTCAAACTTCTGAAAAAGACCTTCATGTACTTGTGATATTTAGATTTTTCTACACAGCATGATGACTGCTCTGAACCATCTTTGCTTGTAGAGGTACTGGACCAAATATGTATGCTAAATCTGAATTAGCACCCTTCCTTTTGCGTGCTTTTTTTTCTCCTAGCATTTTAATGCCTTTTTTCTAGGTGGTTTATTTTAACTCCAGGTTGTTTGGAGGGAAAAAAACAGGAACTCTGTAGTTATTTAAGAAATGGAAATAAAATGACCTAATTCAGACAAAATGAATGAAGTTATTGCACCTTTGTAAATGTTGAAGAATTCCATTGCTGTGTAATGGCTGAACCTGTTAACTTATTAAAACATGTGGAAATGAAAACCTGATCCTGAGCTTTACTTCATACATACTGAAGTGTTGTGTGTGGGCCATGAGCTTTCTAGAAGTCCATGAAGGTACTAGATTTGTTGCTCTGTTTTGTAAGATTGCCACCTCTGAATAACCCTTTTTTGCGAAAAGTAGATACAGTCTGCAAGCCCTCAGCAAGTGCTGAAGCTTTTGTCTCTCCCTGTCTTATCTGTCTTAATCTCTCTGTCCTTCTCTTTCTCTCACTGACTCTTGCTATATCCCTCTGCCCATCTGGTTGTCTCCTTTTTAAATCTTCTTGCATCCTGCTCCCTTATTCTTAATTTTTTTCTTCCTCTGTCTCTGCCCTACAGCCCATGGCTACGGGAGGTGACTGTTCCCCGCTGGCTGGGAGAATGCTGCACCAGACCTGACCACTGAGGAGAAGGAAGAGTATAGAGGTGCCAAGCGCTGCAACAGACCTCTTGGGAGTTGTGTGCATTAGTGACTTACTTTGCACTTGGCAAGTGGCTGTACTGAGTGAATGAGCCTTACATATTGTGGGGGTCTGGTGGTGGCATTGTGCTCTGCAAGGGCTGTATCAGTGGAATGGTTCTGGAGAAGCCATGTGTTTGGACGAGAAGAGAGTGGTGATGGGGGAACAGCTGCTCTACACAGGGCCAGTGGTGGCTACAGGATGTGGGATGGGAGGAGGAAGGGAGTGATGGTGGTTGGGCTGCATTCGGTTTGCTGCCTGAGCAGCTGTGGATGTTGCAAGCTGAGGGAGAAAAAGGAGAGGGATTGGGGCCGTACCTGGGCCATGGGGCCCATGAGAAAGTATCCTGTGACCAAAGTGGTAAGTGACATGGGATTGGGATGTGGCTCTAGGACTGATTGGTGGGATTGTGCTGAGTAGGTCTCGGGAAAAGACCCAGTGAGGGTCTTGGTTGTGCTGGAGGTGTGGAACAAGGGTGGAGATGTTCCAGTTTCGTAAGTAGGATATGTACTTTGGGAGACCAACAGAATGAATTAAGGCCAGTGGCAGTTAATGCGAAGAGCTCCTGGCCTTGGGTCTTGCTTGCTCTGTCTTGCTGGAAAATACTTCCTGAGACTTACAGGTTTTCCTCACAGTAAGTTCATTATCTGTTCCACTTACTTAGCGTGTATCCCTGGAAGGATGATTGTAGGAGACAAGATCTGAAGCATTTTAAAAACAAATAAAACACCAGAAAAGAAAACCCAAACCAAACTATATTGACCCAGTGAAGGCAGCAGATTAAATGTTGGAAGGCTTAGTTCATTTGTTCGTTTTGGTTAAATTAGTCACGAATTTGCACAATTCATGTTTTCACATTTTGGATGCTGTCCGTCACGTTAGTTCATTCTGTAATTTGGAAAAGAAGAATTAACTTTGTTCTTTAGGAATTAAGCTCTCTTTCTTTAGCCCATACTTCATCGCTCAGAGAGGTGCTATTTTTGATCTAATGTAATGCCTTCCTAAAATTCAGTCCAATCTCAATTCTCTACTGTCTAGTTACAAGAACTTCCAACAGACTTCAAAGTCAGGCTTTACAGGCCAGAGGTGGAGCTAACACGGAGGCCTCTGGATTTAAAAAAAAAAAAAAAACAGGAGGCTGAGAATCAGGTGCTTTGTTTGACATTTTTACTGCCTGTCCTACCTAACAATTCTGTCTGTCCATAGGGCACACATTTGGTCGGGCCCTAGCAGCTTGATGCTTATGAATGTAGTTCTTTCTGATGCTGAGCTGCGCCACTTGCTGTCTAGACCAAATACACATAATGTTGGAGGAGCTTATTTTTTTCGCTTTCCTTTTTTTTTTCCTTGGAGCAGTAGTACGGGGAAAACATAGATACTTTCTTCTATGCCAGTATGTTTCCCATAGCAGTATTCTAGGTATGACTTCTGTTGTTGATTCCTTACTTCCTTGTTTTAAATACTGAAAGAAACATACTGTTCTTTTTATTCTGTCTATGTAGAACACCCTTTGTTTCCTTTGTATTTTTGAGTTGTACTCTCAAACAGAGTGTACAGCTGGATCTAGAATAGTTGCCAAAGAGTTGCCTGTGGGCAGATTGTGTTGAATTTCCCAGATGGAGGTCATAAAGTTTCTTGCCTCCTTGAGAAGTGTTCTTGTATTATTCTTATATAGCATTGTGTGTTTCTGCTGTACGGAGATATATATTTTAAATTATTGTAATTCCATTATCTGTCTCCCAAAGGTGATGGTGAGAAGCATGCATGGTGATGACTTATGTGTACTTCATGCTTCACATTAATTCTTCCTTTGGGTCAATAGTAAACCAAATCCTTGAAAGTGTGACTGGGAATTCCACCATTATTAAAAGGGTTCAACCGTGGTGCCTGTGGCAGAAGGCCCTGTGACAGATCCTGGCAGCAATTGGGAATGAAAGAACTGATGACAAGTTGCTGAATATCAAAACCAATCCAGTGGATATTTACAGGCATTGGGTGAACGGGATGGAATTTCAGAGTGGTGAGGCCAGGTACAGAAGCTGTTACTACTATGTTTCTTCTAAAAGTAGCTTGGCTGTTTTGCGTTGCTCTGTTAATCGTTCTGAACTGTCCTTGGTATGCATCTGTCCAATTGATACCAGCTTTTTTCATCACTTCTGACGCTAAAAAAAAACCAACATTTTGACACTGGCAAAAAAAAAAAACCAACCCAAAATATCAATTTATTTTTATTATGTATTTATTTATTGACAGATATTCATAAGCACTTGGCACAAGCTTGCTGGGTGTGGAGAAGTTTTCCGTGGTTTTCTTTGTCTTTTTTAAATTTATGTTATTTTCTCCCCTCTCATGCCCCATGTAACTTTGCGGTTTTCCTTTGCTCTCATGAAAAAAAAGAGAACGGAGCACCAGGGACTGCGGTGCGGCTCCGCGTCAACCCGGTCAGAGTCGTTGTTTTCGCGGTCTCTGGTGCCCCCACGTGGCCAATCGGTGGAATTGCGGCAGTGTGTTTGGTGTCGCAGGCAGCAGGACGCATGCGCGCAGGCGCGCGGAAGTGGTGTACGTATGTTTGCTCTGCGCAGCAAATCCGCCGATTTTATACTTAATCCTCCAAGAAGTAGTGCGCTTGCGCTAGAAAGCTTATAATAACATTGTTTCTAGGAAGCCCACGCGTGCGGGTGAACAGTCAATTCCTAGACCGCCGACGCAGTGATACTTTTTTCTTTTCAATTCTGAGTTCTCGTTGTCTATTTGCTCGGGCGGTAATAACAAATGAGCCTGCCCCGGGAATGAACTATTTTGGCACCCAGCGGACCCTGCGTACGTCGCATGCGTAATGAGCAGTGGAGAAAATCGCATGCGTGGGTGTGTACCCGAAAATGTGCAAGCGAAATGACGTGTACACTTCATCGCATATAAGTGCGGCAACGTGCTACACGTTACAACAATGCCGACACTGGCGCATGCCTATTGCTCCCTCAAAACTCACGCGTGCGTAGTGCAGGGGTGAGACTCGAAGATGTGCGGTGAAATACCCGGACCGGCGCATGCGTATTGCTGTCTCAAAACTGTCGCATGCGTAGTGCGAAATCGAAATGGCGCAGGTGCAATAGAGTGACTGCCACGCACATGCGCACTACGATGCAAGCCTTGCGCATGCGCAGTAGGGTGCAAAAGTTGCACATGCAAAGTACGGCACAAGTCTGGCGCAGGCGCAGGAGGGCGCAAGCCTGCCGCATGCGCAGTACAATGCCAGTCTAGCGCATGCGCAATAAAGAGCCAGCATGCGCAGTACATGCCAGACCGGCGCATGCACAGTAGAGACCTAGATTAGCGCATGCGAAAAAAGGAACGAGCCTGCGCATGCGCCGTACGGTGCCTCAAAGGCGCATGCGCAGTACGGCGCCTGTCAGGAGCAAGCGCAGTAAAGTGCAAACGAGGCGCATGCGCAGTACGGTGCCATCCTGGCGCATGCGCACTAAGGTACAAGCACAGCGCAAGCGCAATACGGTGCCAGGATAGCGCATGCGCAGCAGGGAGCCAGCCTGCCGCATGCGCAGTACGGTGACGGCACAGCGCATACGCAGTAAAATGCAAGACCGTGGTATGCGCAGTACGGTGCGAGACAGACGCATGCGCAGTAGGGTGCCAGCCTGCCGCATACGCAGTACGGTGCCTTCCAGCCACATGCGCAGTAGGGTGCCAGACCGGCGCACGCGCACAACGGTGACTGCCAAACATACTCAGAACGGTGAATGCCAGACGCATGCGCAGTACGCTACCTACGCTGCGCATGCGTAGTACAGTGAATTACTGGCGCATGCGCAGTACGGTGCAACTTAGCGCATGCGCGCTAGGCTGACAGCTCAGCGCATGCGCAGCAGGGTGTAACACCGGCACATGCGAAGTACAATGCCAGCCTGGCGCATGCGCAATAAGGCGACAGTCTCCCCCATGCGCAGCACGGTGCCAGTACAGCGCATGCGCACAAGGGTGCCAGCATGGTGCATGCGCAGTACGGTGCCGGCCAGACGCATGCGCAGTTGGGTGCCAGACAGCCGCATGCGCAATACGCGGCTGGCTAAGCGCATGCACAGTAGGGTGCAAGACCGGCGCATGCGCAATACGGTGACAGCCCGGCGCACGCGCAGAAGGTTGCCAGACAAGCGCATGAACATTAGGGTGAAAGCCCCGCACATGCGCACTAGGGTGCAAGACCAGCACATGCGCAGCACATTGCAAGCATAGCGCAAGCGCACAACGGTGCTTGACACGCGCATGCGTAGTACGGTGCGTACCTGGCGCATGTGCAATACAGTACCTGCCTGGCCCATTCGCAGTAGGGCGCCATTTCTGCGCATGCGCAGTACGGTGCCACTCTAGCGCAAGTGCAATAGCGTGCCAGGATTGCGCAGTACAGTGCGAACTAACGCATGCTCAGTAGAGTGCCAGCCTGGTGCATGCGCACTACAAAGTGATGTTTAATGTTAAAAACAGGGATTTCTATGAAAATAAGCCATATTTAAGCTCAAAAACAGGG